CACACACACACACACACACACACACACACACACACACACACACACCCCCAACCATATCTCCAATTGAAACTTTACAAAACAATGTTTTAATTTTTAAATTCCTTAGCAAGGCTTTACCATAAAGAATTTACCTGCCAAGAGTTATTTCATTGTTTACTCATATTGAGTTAGTAGGACTATTTTAGGTCAATGAAAAATGAATATGTTCTCTTTTCAATCTAAAAAATAGAAGCAGGACACATTTCATTCTCAGTGATGATAACCTGGCATAATACATAAAGCCAACTTCTTGGATTCATGATACCCTCAAATAACAGGAAACCACAATTACTATTTGGCAGCTTCTACTGGAATCATTATCTATTATTTAAATTTACCATAGAAGTAAAGAGATATCCTGATCTCAATGTCAACAAGAGATCAGGGGTATTGGAAAGAGAAAAGCTTTATTTTCTTTAAGAATTTACTTACTCGGGAGGAGGAAGAGGAAAAAGATGTGGGTGTCCTATCAAATCAGACCACTTTTAAATTCCCAGGAAAATATATAGTGCCAATTTTTACCATTTTAATAATTTTGGGAAAGCAAACAGGTAAATATTACAAAAAACATTAATAGACCTGATAGCAGTGTTCCTATTTTTTGGACCACATTAGAGTAAAAAGTCTGGAAAGGAGGTCAAAACAGCCATGTGTAGCCTATAGCAATATCACAAATCTGTCAATCTTCCAAATCCAGAGTTCAACTGAAGAAGTACCCTCACTTCTTGTCCATTTATATTTGAAAACCTTAGTGGAAACCCCTGTTTAGTAAGATGGATAAATTACCCCCATAAAGGCAACTGAGAAGTATGAACTGGTCATTCTAGCAACATCAAATTTTTAAAAAAGGTTCATGGAATTGTTTTTTATCTTTAGCATCTAAACAAACAAGCAACATATTTTTCAGTAGGAAGAACTTAACTGCTTTTGATTCATCATTAATTTAAGATAACACAATATATTAACCCTGTGACCAGGAGTCTTAGTAACTATAATGACATGCTGTAGACACTCATTCATCTCCTGTTATTTGAGTTGACTTAACCCCAAAATATCATAAAATTTTATTCCTGAAATGGTAAGAGAAAACAGTCACCTATCTTCAGAAACCAACACTGATTTTTACAGAAAAACGGGGAACAACAAGGAAATTATTTATGATGGAAATATTTGGTGCAAAGTGGGTAGTAAGAGAAGTGGGTTTTTCTCCCTTTACTGAAGTGAAATAGTTACAGTCACTACATAAGGACACGGCTGAAGATAAGAAGTTAGCCCTAAAGAAAGATAAAATGTTGAGATGTTTGCCTAAACTCTTAGGGGAAATCCAAACATTCAATTCTCCCATTCTCTCCCTTTTCAAAATGAATACTATTTCCTACGTTCTAGCCTTTCTTCTCTTGCTTTGATGGCTTTCTCTCTCTCCTGCAGTTGTAGCTCCTTTAATCTCAGTTCAGTCATCGCAGGGCCTGAATTCTGCAGTTTTTCTGGCTCTCCTGATCGCCGCCCTCTCCTCTCAGGATTTTTTCTTTGCTCTTCAGCTACCAAGTCTGCTATGAGAGAGTTTTCCAGAATTTCTTCAACAGATGGTCGACAGTAATCCTTGAAAAATGTAAAACATACAAATAATAATCGTGACAAAATTTCTGAGCATAAAGAAATCAGACTTACTTCTAAAGTAAGACAGATAGTGCTTTATGTACAGACCTTGAACATATAAGGAGAAAAAATAAACTAGTGATGGAGAGATAGGTCCTATGATGTACTCCAATAAAGTATATCCCTTTTCTTCACCATAACACATTTCCACCTTCCAAAGTTCCATTCCTACAGCAGTTTAACAATCTGAGGTAGTTATTTTTATTGCTTTGTAGCAGAGTCACATGAATTTTGAATACAGTGCTTATTTATAATAAAAGTTGTCTAACATGGACGCACTCTGATTTTTCATTGTTAAAGGATGGCATGGGAGTGAGACAAACAAAAGTATACTAAGCATGACTTCTGACACCAATCCTCATTTGCCCAGACCTTTCCTCAGGGTAAAGAACTCATAAAGACACCTCCTCCCCGCCCCCACCCACAACTAATCTTATCTACTAAAATTAAATCACTGCCAACACCATAAAAGCTAGATGGCACAATGGGTTAGAGTACTGGACTTGAAGTTGTGAAGACCCAAGTTCAAATCCAGCCTCAGATACTAGCTGTGTAACCCTGGGCAAGTCATTTAACTTCTCTCAGCCTCATTTCCTCATCTGTAAAGTGGGTATAATAATGTAATAGCACCTACCTCACAGGGTTGTTGTGAGGATGCAAACCTCAATATAATATAAATATATATAATATAAATGCTGGCTATACTTATAACATAATCCCTTTATGATCCCTTTTATAGTCACCTATTTGGACTCAAAGAGGCAACATAGTATCATGCAAAACACATTGAATTTGGAGTCAGAAGACCCAGGTTCCAATCATAATTTTGCTACTCATGTTGTTCATCCTTAGTTTCAAAGATGAACAATGACATCACAGGGTGATGTCTTGACTTGCACGAGAATTGGATTTAAGTGAGGCAGAGGTGCAAGTGTCTTCAGCCTCACTCTCTCTTTCAGAGTCATCAGAGTCCGGTGGCAGGACAAAAACCAAGACTGACGATGGCCCAGGATGCAGTGGATGACCTTGGCATCTTCGATGCCTAACCAAGCCCTAAGCACTCCACAACCTCCTTCATGGACAATGGAACAAACTGTTCTCATCTGCCCATTCCACTGGGGGAGGTCTTCACATGCTTGAAGCAGACATTCCCCTAACTCACTGATGGGTTTGAGGCCTCTCAGTTACCCTCAACCTGGTTTAGCCCGTCTGCTGAGACAGTTTTACTAGGGTGTGGCCACCAGTGCATGCTACTGCTTCTTGGAGCCATAGGTGACAGTTAGGTGACAGGTGGACACCACAGGTAGATGAGCAGCCCTGAAAAGGGCTCAGCAAGCCCTCACACTAGTGGTACTAGTCCTCCTTGGACACCCCATACACCTCTACTTATACTATCTATATGACATTGGGCAAGTCACCCCTCTTTTCAAGGTCTCTTTAATGTTCCCACTCTAAATCCCTTGAGTTCAAACCACATACATTATCACTTTCTCCATTCCAAATTATATTTTCCCTATAAAACCAAGTCCATTTTCTTTTATTATTCCTGATACCCGTTCTTCTTTGCCCCTTTCTTCTTGGGCTAAATACAACACTCATGTTGTGCCACCCCCATCCCACTCACTCCTCAACAGAACACTGATCTAAATCCCCCCATAGGCAAAGATCAGGGGAAGTGACTGATCTGAATTGCATTTCTTGCTCCCGCCTCTTCCCGCCTGCCATCTGTCGGGTGTAGAGCAGAAGGAAAAAGGAAAGGAACAGCAGGCAAGCCTGCAAAGACAGTTAATTTGCCAAATTTACATATGTTCTCACTTGTCTTGAATAGCAGACCAGTTTTCTAAGGATATCTATTCCAATGATTATACAGAACTTCTTTTTAAACCAATAACCAAACAAAAATAATACAAACACCAAAATAAGTACGTCCAATCACAACATAGTCATCTTTACCTTCAAATTTAACATCTTAGTAATAATGTCATTCAATTCATCTGAGTAACGATATGGAATTCGCCTGAATTTTCCTTCTCTGATCTTTTCAGCTAATTCTTTCTGGCTGAAAGCTGTAAAAGGAGGCCTGAAAGAAAAAAAAAATTAAAACAAAAACCCATAGCATACTTCTTTCAAAAAGATATATACAAAAACGTATGTGACATGATCATTTACTCAATTAATTTCACCAATCATATGAGGAAAGGGATGAAGAGAGGAAAAATAATATATGATTACACCAAAATAAAGAATAAGCCATCTAAATTATAGTTTGGTTTCACCTTATAAATGAAATGCTTTTCTTTAGAATATTTAAAAGAGAAGATGGAGAGAGGGGATATACAAGCATTCCTTTGATACAGGAAATGCTTTCTTTTTTACCTTAGAAATAAATTCCCTAGAGTTTTTCTTTACTTTTCTCCTTCAGATTTCTCCTCCTATATTCACCATCATAAAAAAGCAATGCTACTATTAATTCCAGACCTATTTGTCCTTCAGTTAGATTTCAAGATTGAAACATAAGTGTGACAGGAGTTTAAACAAGTATAGTATCGGTGTTACAGATTGTAGCTTAAAACTAGGTTTAAAAAAAATGTTCTGGTCGACCCCAATTTTAGACCAGATTCTTTCATGTTCTGTATGTAACAATTTAAATAGCTATGTAAAAGGAACATGAATCTTTTGCAAAGGGACAAGCTACACCACAACAAGCAATAGAAAACCACAGAGCACCATATCGTTGTCAATGGTTCATCATACTTACATTAAGGCACACAACTCATACAGCAAACAGCCTAATGACCAAATATCGGACTTTTCATTATAGGACATGCGATTCATTTGTTCCTGAAAAAAATTATTTTTTGGGGGGAAAAGTTATTTTTGCTATAAATTTATATAAATTGATTTCTGAAATAAATGTAACTCCTGATGTTTACCTGGCTAACTACAATAAAGCACAGAAAACCAAACAATAAATCAAATTTGAGATAACCCCCAGGCCTCTTTCTCAGTAAGAAAAGTAAGCTTAATGTATTATGATTTTTTAAAAGGATTGTTTTATCCTAAAATATAGCCAATCTTCTCTCCAATGTAGAAGCCAGAATACCATAATCCTTTCTCCTACATATCTGAATTGCTATTATTGGCAAACTGGATCATAAATTTATGTTCTTTCCATCAATCCACAACATTAACCAAGTCAACAAACTTTCTCAATACTTATTGTAGTCCCCATGGGGTAAATAGAACAGATCTAATCACAATGAAGCAACTAGGCAGGTTTCAACTTTGGCAAGAACCACCTTTAAATAATTTTCCTTTACAATAGAGGATTTTAAATTAGAATTTAATCCCTTGTGAAAATACCATTGCCAATCTGTGTACAACCACATTTTTATCCTTAAAAGAACTGACTGATTTACAGTTCTGGTATCATAAGAAAATCTATTAACCAGAGATTAAATTACTAAGTTTTAGTAATAGAAGTTTGATTACAATTATTCTCTATGAAGCATGAATATAGATATGTATTTTTAATATGCTATAACTCTTTTATTAAGTAGAACCAGTAGAATTAAAAACTACTAAACACTTTTAAAATTACCTGTCATGGTAAGTGAAAGGCGCTCAAAGAAACCCAATTTCATCCTAAATTTTATTTAATGTTTCTTTTAAATTAAATTTTATTTTCAGATCTGAATTATCACCCTCTCACCCCTCTCCCTACCCCCAATTGAGAAAGCAAGAAAAACAAACCGCTTTAGTGCTTTATCTAAGATGTTGCCAAAGACATTCAAATTCTGAAATGCTTACTGGAGACATATAATAAGGTGTGCCAACAAATGTTTTTGCAAAACTTGTATCATGGTTTAATATCCTAGCCAGTCCGAAGTCTCCAAGTTTGACATTTTGCTTGCTATCCAGGAAAACATTAGCTGGTTTCAGGTCCCGATGCAACACAACATGGCCACCATCACTTCGTCTATGACATTCCTTTAGGGCCAAGGTCAACTGGGTCATTACACGGAGAACAAAATCTTCATCTGAGTAATGTCTACAGCAGAAAAATGAATAAAGATAAACCATCTCAAACAGCATGAGGCTTCGGAATTAATTCAGTGCAAGTGAAGAATATGATTATTATAATACATATTCCTGTAAGAGTTAATGTACATCTAAAGTTATCAGATAAAATTCATGGTTAATGTATATTGAGTAGAAGTGATATTCCTATAATTTATGAAGAAAGCAAAGCAAATTCAATTAAATTAGCTTCACTGACTTTTGGCAATTCCAAAAGATTTCAAAATTCCTAAGCCTAAATTTCTACTACCTCTATCTTTCTATTATTCCCACCCTACCTTCTCTTAAAAAAAATTTCTTTTTAATATATAAAATGACCACTCAGAAGGGTAAGTGAACACAGATATATACATATATGATATATATGTATACATATATATGTAAAAAGAGTACAAACAGACTTATCACAACAGGGAGAAGATAAATTATCACCTTTGCTAAGACTCAGGGGCCTATAAACAATTGTTCATAGTGGTTAAGAGTTCTTATCACATGCTTTTAAAAAATGTAGATAGATCCTTCATCTCTCAATTCATCCTGTGTTTTCAAGGGAAGAGAGGCTGAGAGCCAGAACAAATAGTGGCTGTACATAAGTTGCTTACCCTTGCAGTGTTCTCAGCAGCTCTTTAAAACTGAATTTACAGAGAAAGTGCCAAACTGCATTTTTTCAAGGGGGTTTCCTCATACTAAGGAAATCACCTGACCAATGCCTATCCCATATTTCAAGGGGTCTCTCTCCTTAATGAAGCCTTTCCTGATTTCCACTTCCCTCCTCTAATTCAATGTGATCTGTGCCTTCTCTAGCTCTTTCTATACCTTCCTTATGGCACTTACATTAATAGCTATAGTAAAAGATGGAAGGTGTATCTGTCGTTGTTGTTGTTCAATTTTTCAGTTGCGTCTGATTCTTTGTTCCATGGAATATGTTATATTATGTATGGAATACACACACACACACATATACATATATCTAAATCTATATCTTCCATGGAATACAGCTGTCCATGGGGTTTTCCTGGCAAAGAGAGATTAAATGACTTGCACAAAGGTAAGTGTCTAAGGCTGGAATTTAACTCAGATCTTCCTGACTAAGGCATCTGTCACTAGTATACTAAAGTGTAAGGTCCTTGAAGGAAAAGTCTGCATCCAGTTCAGCTTTGTGAGCACCTGATAACTATAGTGCCTTTTATATAATAGGCACACAACAAATACTTGACTTGAATTTACTAACAATAGATCACCTTGTGTCACAAAACAGAAATCTTTTAACAGAAACCAGATCCATTTCTACAACAGTAAAGAAAACCATACATACCTTTCTTTGGTGCATTTTGTTATAACACTAGCCAGATCCCCTCCTTCACAATATTCCATTACAATATAAAGTGTTGTATTGGATCTATCAATAATACGATCATAGTATCGGACAATATTTGGATGTTTCAGTTCACGGAGCAAATTCACTTCAGAAACAAGCATTTGTTTCTCAGCTTCTGTCATAGAACCATAGTCAAGTTCTTTCCAAACTAATACCTGAAATAAGAATTTCCAAAAGATGTCAACTCAGTATATTGCGTCTGTAGCAATAAAAATTGTTGATCAAGGGACATAGTACAAGTACACACACACACACACACACTTTTTATTTTCCTACTTAATAGAAGACATAGGCAGAGAAACATATTTTGTACTATAGGCAATATCTATAAAGTGTTTCAGTCTACCAGAGGTTTTCAGCCTTCACTGTAATACATGACAAAATGAATCTCTATCTGCCATAACCAATGGAATTTTCTGACAATAAATATACATGCATTTATAAAAAAACACACAAAAGTGCCCTGCCCCATACTGTAACCCCTGCAGGTTGCTCTGTAAATACCTGCCTACCTTAAGATCATAGGATCAAAATTTAGAGATGAAAGAGACCCTATGTTATCTAGTTCTACTTTTCATTGTGTATATATACACATACATATGATTTGCAGACCTTAAAGCACTATATAAATGCTTTAGCTACTACTATCATTATTATTATTATTACAGGAAAATAACAGGGCACATAGATTGACATATACTCACAGGCACCCAAAGCACCAGGAATTGAAACCAGGTCCACTGTATTTAAATTAAGTGTCCTTCCTATTGTACTACCTACCCCCAATTTCAAGTCCTACATGTAATTAATCTAGCATACTACTATCAGAGACAATTCCAGTAATTTGCTAATTCTCCCAATAGCATATTAACTTGCTGACTCCCCTCTCTTCCAATTTCAAAGGAAGAAGCTCATACAGTTTGGGGTCACTGACATCCACCTAGTTTGGTTTACAACAGTAGCAGGAGCTGTTTTATTCAGAAGCAGATGTAGAAGAACCCTGTTTGTTGACAGTCACTGCTATGAAAGATTCAAACATTAGAGTTTCAAGAAAGTAAAGAAAGTTTACTCAGTAATAAGAAACATAATTTCCTTCCTTCCTTCCTTATATTATCTTTATAAAACACCTACCTAAAACAGAAAGGGAGTTATGGTTACAATAACTTATGATAGTACAGATTTAAAAGGAGTCTTAAAATGCAGGTGCCAGGGGTCATGCCCACTTCCCATTTCTGGAAACAACGTTCCATTTCAGAGAACAATACAGATGTCACAACATCTTTTAACTCAACCTTGCTTGCTTCTGTGCCTATCCTATTTCCTTGCCATACTGATGCTCAAGTTTTATAATTATGGAGAGCAACAACCAGGCCTTTTTTTCTTTTTTTCCCATCTTTATACCTACTACCAAGCATGGTGACCTGCACATAGTAGTATTTTAAATTAGAAGAGATGGGGAGTAAAAGCAGTGACTTGCTTGAGCTCTCCCCCAAACCCTTCCAAATACCTGTAAAAAATGGCTATAAACAAACTCTAGAGCAGCAGAACCCACAAAAAGACAGAGTAAAACAAATTTCCAGCCCAAGACAACCTGGATGGTTGATTGGAAAGGTCTGTTGCACTGGGCTGGGAGAGGAGTGTAGTTCAGCGTGGGCTGAAATTATCAAGAAAAACTGCCCTGATATTTTAGAACCAGAGGGCAAAATAGAAATTGAAAGGATCCACCAGTCAGTCACCTCCTGAGATCCCCAAAGGAAAACTCCTAGGAATACTGTAGCCAAATTTCAGAGTTCCCAGGTCAAGGAGAAAATACTGCAAGCAGCCAGAAACAATTCAAGTATTGTGGAAACACAATCAACCCAAGATTTAGCAGCTTCTACATTAAGGAACCGAGGGGCTTGGAATATGATATTCCAGAGGTCAAAGGAGCTAGGATTAAAACCAAGAATCACCTACCCAGCAAAACTGAGTATAATCCTTCAGGGGGAAAAAAATGGACATTCAGTGAAATAGAGGACTTTCAGTGAAATAGAGGACTTTCAAGCATTCTTGATGAAAAGACCAGACCTGAACAGAAAATCTGACTCTCAAATACAAGACTCAAGAGAAGCATGAAAAGGTAAACAGGAAAGAGAAATCATAAGAGACATATTAAAGTTGAACTGTTTACATTCCTATGTGGAAAGATGATATTTGTAACTCATGAGACCTTTCTCAGTATTAGGGTAGTTGGAGGGAAAAAATACATAGATAGACAGATGAGTGAATCTTACTATCATTGGATTTGGCTTAAGTAGGGAATAGCATACACACTCAATTAGGTATGGAAATCTATCTCACCCTACAGAAAAATAGGGGGGATGGGAATAAGAGACAGGGGTGATGATAGAAGGGAGGACAGACTGGGGGAGAGGGTAATCAGAAACACACTTTTGAGGAGGGACAGGATCAAAAGACAGAATAGAATAAATGGGGGGCGGGATAGGACAAGGGGAACTATAGTTAGCTTTGTACAACATGACTACTATGGAAGCGTTTTACATGACTACACATGTATTAGTGGTATCGAGTTGCTTGTTTTCTCAATGAGTATAGGTGGGGAAGAAGGAAGGAAGAGAATTTGGAGCCCAAAGTTTTAAAAACAAATGTTAAAAATTGTTTTTACATGCAACCGGGAAATATATAAAATACATTAAAAATATAAAAAAAATATTTTTATAGTTTATGTAAATATATAAAAAATATAAAAATATATATAAACTATATCTATACAGGCAATGGGTTATAGAAATCTATCCTGAACTACAGGAAAATAGAAAGGGAAGAGGATAAGAGAAGGGGGGGGAGAGATAGAAGGGAGGGCAGATTGGGAGAAGGGGTATTCAGAATGCATGCCATTTTGGGGTGAGGGGAGGGGCGAGATGGGGCGAAAATTTGGAACTCAAAATTTTGTGGAAGTGAATGCTGGAAACTAAAAATAAATAAATTAAGTAATTAAATTAGAAGAGACCTTAGAAGCAACCTTCAGTCAATTCCTTCATTTTACAGATGAGGGAGCTAAAGCCCAAGGAGGAGAAAGGATATACCCAAGGCCACACAGGGTGCACCAGAGCCAAGATCCAAACCTAAGTATCTCATGTGAATCACAGGATTTAAGAGTTAGAACTAGAGGGGGAAGGAATGGACTAAGCATTTACACAGTACCTACTATGCATCAGGTACTGTGCTTACCACTTTACAAATATGATCTCATTCAATCCACCCTAAGAGATAGGTGTTATTATTATTCCCCTTTCACAGTTGAGGAAATTGAGGCAAACAGAGATTAAGTGACTTACCTAGAGTCACACCATGACTCCAAGACAGATAGGAACTCCGCTCTTCCTGACTGTGGGCCCAACACTAGCCCCTGTGCAACCTAGCTGTTAGATACACTAGGCACTGTTGCATAATGGAAAGTGATGGGCTCAAGAGTGAGGGGTGTTAAGTTGAAATACAGTTGGGCTGCTTCTACAAACAACTTCTGTGTCCTTACCTCTCTGGGCCTTGGTTCTATTGTTTGTTTAAAAAAAACAACAAAAAAAAACTGAAGGGGTTGACTATACACTCCCTTAGATAATCCTGTCTTCTAGGCTGGTTGGTGCTCAAGAAATGTTTGTTAAAATTGGTGCCCCTAGTAAAAACTGGTACTGTGGGCAGTCATATAGCCAAGATGAAGAGAAGATAAAAAGGAGAGGGAAGAGGGGGGAGGGGAGAAGAAAGAGGAAGATAGAGACAGACAGAAATAAAGAAGCACAGAAACATAAAGAAAAATAGAGAAAACAGAAAGCGACAGAAACTGAGAAAGACACACAGAAAAACAGAGACAGAAGCAGAGAAAGACAGACAGAAACAGAAAGGAAAAACAGACAGAGCCTGAAAGAGGCACAATAAGACAGAAATAGAAAAACTGAGACAGAAACAAAGAGAGACCTATGTTTCAGGGGAGTGATACACAGGTTGTCTATCCTTGAGAAAGCCAAGTTAATATATACTGTAGTTATTTGTATGAGCCTGTTATTCCTTTATTAGATTCTAAGTTTTAAGAAGGCAGACACCAAGCACATACACTTTATACCTCCCCCCAACAAAAACACGGTGCTCTGCAATAGGCGCTCAAAAAGATTTGTCATTAAAGTTTTTTCCCCCCACGGACACCAAAGTCTTTGAGTAAACAGACTTCTTTTAAAAGGAACAAGTGTGGCTGGGTGGTAGTAAGAGCTCTACACTGCGTTAGAACTTCCTTTTACCTTGTGTAACTAAGTTGGTGCAAGCGCCTTCCTCTGGGGGCGGGGGCGGGGTGAACTGACCGAGATCCCTTAAGGGTCTCTTCCAGCCCTAATAGCCTGCGGCCCTACTGCGTGCAGGTCCCAGCTCCAAGGCTGGGGGCACCGAGAGGACAAATGGCACGCTTCAGCCCTCGGGGACCGTAAAGCGAGTCCGAGTGCGCGGCGTTCGGCTAACGGCGGCAGCCGGAAGAGGAGCCCCGGCGGGGGCAGCCCCACCTCGGATTTTCCTCCGGTTCTGCCCCGCGGGCTTTCCGCCTAGTCCAGCACGGAGGTGGCCGAGGGGACAAGGGAGGGCTTTTCCCCGACTCCCAGCGGGCAGCAGCCGCAGCTGGGGGGTGGGGGAGGAGGGGGCGGTTCCCCGGCCTTCGCAAGGGAGGGGGGCGGGGAAGACAGCGCACGCCATGGCTGCGGGCCCGGGCCCGGGCCCGGGCTAGGGAGGAGCTCGCTCTCACCTTGCCGTCGCTCTTTCTCCGTATCTTTTGGCAGCGGCCATAAGAGCCGGTACCAATGGTGAAGAGCACCTCATAGTCCTCCACTCGAGAAGGCATCGCTCCGGCTCGGCCGCCGCCGAAAACCGGCTCAGAAGCACAACCCTGACCCCGAGGCAGAGCCAGAGATGAGGCCGCAGGATCCTCCAGGGCCGTTTAACCGTCGCGGGCTCTGCCTCGCTGCTTATTGGCTGGTGGCCCCGCCGCCCCGCTTCCCTGATTGGACAGGAGCGAAATAACAACTTTGGCATCTCGGGAAAATGGTAGTCGCTAAGCAACAGCGTCGGCGTCGGATTGCCAAAGCTGATGGGAAAGGGGCGGAATCAAGTGAAGGGGCGGGGCGCCGCGCAGCGGAGCGCAGCGAGCGGCTCTAGGCGACTCCTCGTGACCCAGGCCACCCGTGCTCACAGTTGTAGCCCTGTCTGCCCTCTGCACTCTACCCTCTGACCTCTGCACACTTCTCTTATCGCTTCTGCACACCGCCCTCCCCCCGCCCTAGGCTTGGCCTTGCTGAGGGTGTGGCTGTGGTCATAGGCTTGCTTGGGGCGCGGGGGAAGGGGAAAAGGGCAACCCCAAAACTGGGCTGAACGGGGGCGGGAGATAACCCTGTCAGTCATTGATCTGAAGTGATAAAGACAACAGTAATAAAAACGTGTACGTTTGGTTTAGGGAATGAGAGACGCATTCAGCTTGTGCCTTCACCTAGCCTGGGTGATCAAATCAAGTCTTTATTGAGCGCCTACTGTGTGCTAGGGAAAACTGAAGCTCAGGTTCATGTCCCTTGTGACCTCAGTGATCTAATAGGCCATTATTAGATAACTTGACGAGTGATAGCCTTTGATGGGATTTGATAAGTGCCTTAAGAAGGTACAAAGTGTTTCTGGATTCACAATGAGTTCAGATTTGATTGAGAGTGAAATGTTCAGGGAAAACGTCATAAAGACAGAAAATCAGAAGACCTGGGCTCAAATACAAGATCTATGGCTTACTACCTGTTTGATCTTGGGTCTTAGTAGTAGAAAGAGCACAGGCTCTGGACTCAGAAGGACCTGAGTTCAAATCCTACCTATGATGCCTATTACTCATAACGCTGGGCGAGTCACCCTTTGGAATCTGGCTTCCAGCTTGATCATTCAACTGAAACTGCCCTCTGAAGTTTCTAATGTGCTTGTAATTGCCAAATCTAATGGCCTTTCCTCATCGTTGTTGACTTTTCTACAGTATTTGACGTTGTTGGGTCTGTTGGAGCCAGTTTGACCACTTGTTAAATTTTCAGTGTGAGCATTTACTCCTTAGAAATTGGCAAATGTTACAAATCAGGGCTTGGTTTGTTGTTTAGTTGATTTGTAGAGCTAAGAAAGTGATGGAGAAGATGTTATGGAATGCAGATGAAACTTAAAAGTATGTCCTGTGCAAAAATTTTTTAGGAGAGTCAGTTGTTGAACATTTACCAACACACCCGTGATACCCTCTTCAATTTCATATTCTTTTGTTTCTAGGTTTTCAGGACACTGCTCTCTCCTGTTGTTTCTACCTGTTGACTGTTCCTCAGTTTCTTTGCAATCTCACCCAGGTATCATCCTAAGGCTCTCTCCTGATCCCTGTTCTCTTTTCCCTCAATGCTATATATCTTACTAGGGGATTTCAGTTCCCATAGGCTTCATAATCATTTCTATGCAGATGATTCCCAGATCCATACATCCTGCCCTAATCTCTCTCCTGAGATCGTTCTTTTTTTTTTTACACTTAATGTAAGTTTTTTTCCAATTACATATAAAGATAGTTTTCAACATTCAATTTTATAAGATTTTGAGTTCCAAATTTTTCTCCCTCCCTTCCTTCCCTCCCTCTTCCCCAGGACAGCAAGCAATCTGATACGGGCCATATATGTATAATCATGTTAAACATATTTCCACATTAGTCATGTTGTGAAAGAAGAATCAGAACAAAAGGGGAAAACCACTAGAAAGGGGAAAAAAAGCAAAAATAGTATATTTCGATCTGCATTCAGACTCCGTAGTTCTTTCTTTGGATGTGGATAATATTTTCCATCATGAGCCTTTGGAATTGTCTTGGATTATTGTATTGCTGAGCAGATATAAGTCTATCATAGCTGCTCATCATACAATGTTGCTCTTACTGCGTACAATATTCTCCTGGTTCTGCTCACTTTACTCAGCATCGATTCATGAAAGTCTCAGGTTTTCCTGAAATCCGCCTGCTCATCCTTTCTTATAGCACAATAGTATTCCATTACATTCATATACCACAACTTGTTCAGCCATTCCCCAATTGACAGGCATCCCCTCAATTTCCAATTCCTTGCCACCACAAAAAGAGCTAATATTTTTGTACATGTGGGTCCTTTTCCCTTCTTCATACTGAGATCCAGTTCTAAATGCCTTTTGGGCATCTCAGATTATAAGGCATAATTATTTTTTCCTCTCAAACCTTCCCTTATTCCAAACCTCCCTATTAGTAATAAGAACACTACTATCTTCCCCAGGCTCCCAGGTTCTGTAACCTTAGTGTTCTTGACTCCTCATCTATGTACAATCTTTTTGCTTAATCTTGTCATTTCTACCTTCACATCATCCCTCCTTCCATTCACACAGTTGCCACTCTAGTTCAAACTCTTATCACCTGTCACCTAGAGTACTGCAATAGCTCTCCGATTGATCTCCCTTTCTCAAATCCCTCCCCTTTTTAATCCATCCTACTCAGCTGCCGAGATGATTTTCCTAAACTGAAAGTGTGCCCATGTCACTCCCCTGCTCAATAAATAAACTCCAGTGAGTGGTAACTTATTACCTTCAGGAACAAAAGCGCTTTGTCATTTAAAGATCATTACCACCTGGCCCCTTCATATTTTTCCAGTCTTCTTACATTTTTCTCCCTTCCCTGCACTCTATAATTCAGCTTCATTGACCTGCTTGGTGTTTCTCAAACACAGCACCCTATCTTCTGTATCTCTGCCTTTGCATTAGTTGTTTTCCTTCCTGGAGTGCTTTCCCTCCTTATTTCCACCACAGTTTCTCTGACTTCTTTTCAGACTCAGCTCAAATCCCACCTACTGTGGGAGGCCTTTCCTGGTTTCACTTCCATACCCACACACCCAAAGTGTCAGTGCCTTCCTTTCTAAGATTTGCTTCCATCCATTCTGTGCATGTCTTGTATGTATCTAATTATTGTCTCCCTCTTTAGAATGTGAAATCTTTGGGGGACGGGACTGTTTTTCCTGTATCCCCACTGGGGATAACTCATTGTAAGATTTTAATGCTTGTTGACAGACTGACTTAAGCATCCATTTCTTCATCTATGTAACCTGAAAGGATTATGAGAAGTAATAACCAGACTTTTCCCCAAAGTCAGATTACATTTATAAAATGAAGGGGTTGGATTAGAGGGCCTCTGAGGTCCCTTTTAGCCCTATATCCATGATTCTATATAATCATATTAGTTTTCTGGTGCTCAATGTCCTTGTCTATAAGATGAAATGGTTGAATTAATCATAGGTACCCAAAGTGGGCGATACCACCCCCTGGGGGGTGCTGGAATGATGGGGGGGGGAAGGTTAATAACCGTGGGTATCAAAATTTTTTTTAAAGGGTTAAACAAAGTAGATTTCCAGGGGGTCACTAAGTAATTTTTTTTTGGAAAGGGGATGGTAGGCCAAATACGTTTGGGAACATCTGAACTAAATGATATGTAAATTCCCTTCTAATTTTAAACGAATGAATGAATAAGGTTTCAGTTTAGTCACAAGTTTAAAAAAAAAGTTCAGCGAAAAAGTCAGTAAAATAGACTGTCTAGTATCCAAAAGACTCAAGAACTGTTAGTGCTTTGGTCTTCAGCAAGTTTTGGTGTTAGTGCACAATCCTCAATTGAAACCATTTTCAAAGGTCCCCAACTCTGCCAATTTGCACCCGAGGGGCGAGCTGGGCTGCCCAGAGAGATAATTTAACTGTTCTTCACCAGTCATGAAGCCTAGACTTTTATAAAGTCTTGTATGCCAATATTTTCATTATTAAAGGATAAGGACTTGACCTGTGGTGTTTCACTGTTATAGGAGACTCCTCCTGGGCAAGGAAACTCCCTCTACTAGGTCAGTTTAGCACCTCCTCTGAAACTTATATTCCTGGACAGATGCTTAGAGCACTCAGAAGTTAAATCACTTATCTCCGTATCACAAAGCCAGAATGTGTCAGAAATGGGACTTCAACCGACTTCTGGTTCCAAGCTCAGCTATCTATCCACTACACCATACTGTTTCTCTTATTATGTGCCAGCAAATAGAGTGGAACCATTCTTCTCAAACCCTTTATAATTTAAGGACTGTCTTAATTAGTCCTGTGGATATGGAGTACTCTGGCTGTGTACCTGTCATCCCTTATTCTTACCGTGTGACCAGCCTATCTTTTCTGCTTATTGTTTCCTTGATGATATCTTTTACTTCTGTTCTTCTCTACTTTTACCCACCATGCACTGTTCCACAACTTTTTTCATGACACTCGTTTTTAACTCATTGGAGACGATTACATTCCATTTCTCACTGACATACAACAGAACCAATAGAATGTTGACATAAAAAAGATGGGTCTTTGTTTCTAAGGGACACTTGGGGACAGTAATGGAATTTGCAATTTCTTGAAGGCAATTTAGCCTACTTTCTCCTATTCACCTCTTGCCCTATAGGTTGTCTATAATAAGCACAATGAGATCTTATATTCTCTACATTTTTCAGTCAATTGTGAAATGGTAAAAAGCCTGCTTGTTTCCTACTAATACCCTCAATAAGGATGCCCTCAATTTATATGTTGATAATTTATATAAAGATTTTTTTATGGGTGGAAGAATAAGTAGGCGATGTTTTCTGTCACCTTTTTTTTTTTTTAGTGAGGTAGTTGGGGTTAAGTGACTTGCCCAGAGTCACACAGCTAGTAAGTGTCAAGTGTCTGAGGCCAGATTTGAACTCAGGTCCTCCTGACTCCAAGGCCAGAGTTCTATCCACTACACCACCTAGCTGCCCCTTCAGTCACCTTTCTTCAACATTAAAAATGTCAGATTTTTTTTCCACACCTTTTATTTTCCTCTTATTCAGTGATATTTTACATAAGCCTCAAAGTCCTTACAATTGTGTCTC